TGCACAGAAATGAATAACTAAGTGGGTTCCCGTTCCTAGGAACCCGGAACCCGAAACTGACACCCCTACCATACACCCACCCACCCACACACCCACACCTACACCTAGGCATGCACCAAACCCGAACCCAAACTCAAACTGTTTGGGAGTTTGGGTTTGGGTATGGGTTTGGGTCTGATGTCGCAACTAGACATGTACTAGCCCTAAACCGTTTTCGTTTTGATGCTTTGAGTATTGAGTTTGAGTTTGGGTTTGGGTTTGGGTATGAGTTTGCGTTTGAGTTTGATCAACAGTCGTATATCAAAAGCTTAGATACATGGGCTATAATCAAATTTAAATCCAAACTCACCAAATCCAAACTGTTTGGGTTTGGTGCATGCCTACCCACACCCATACCCCACCTCACACCCACACCCCACCCACACCCGACGTCATTCCCTCATCTTATACATGTAACACGGACAGCTTGTATTATCTTCTCTACTATATCTTTGTATTTTCTCCTTTTTGTCGATGTACACGTGTCGAGTAACACATGTAATAAGTAGTACGTGTAAACATAGTTACTATATATATGTAATGATAAATACTAGAATAAAAAGATTCAACTTAGATGAAGTAAATCTATACGCAATTTCATTTGTTATCGACATGATTTCGCAAAATAAATATGGATGGGTGTGAGTATAGATCTTCCCTTAAACCACACCAAAGTATCTCACATCGATTCTCAGACAACTACACAACCAAACAGTATTTTTGAAAAACTAAATAGTTCATTTTGTAGAGGAGTTTTCAGGCTACAAAATCTTTATGCAAAATGTTTCCTGAACATGTTTATTTTTTTCAACAAAATCGAGTTTAGCCCTTGCTAGCAACGTGAGTGAGTACGAATACAGAAACGTAAAATTCGCTTGTAAGTAAATGAGAAATTCAAAAACCAATTCTAAATAAAGTTAATTTTTATTGGAGACCTTGAGATGATAGTAGGACAAAAGATCTCGCTCTGGAAAACTGGTTTTTTTGGGAGGTCATTTTTTTTTAGCCCAATCTTGCTAAAAATTTCATCATACACATAACTATTTTGTAGCATGGTGTCTATTCTACAATTCTTGAACTTGTCTGTCATAATGTCAGAGAGTCATTTGCTACTTACATTTTATTTAATTAATTTTAATTCGATATGCACTGAAAGAATCAAGATTTATATATATATATATATATATATATGATCATGAGAAGAAGAACTTATTCAGAAACATAACTTCTGTAAAGAATCAAAGTCAAATCGAATATGGTTATGTTCCGTCTTTGCTGATTTTGTCTATGTAAGTCATAGAAACGAACAGCTTTGTGAAAATATGACGAGTACAAAGATGCTTAAAATGGTCAGAAATTTGATCTCGTGATCTCTGAATGAATTGGAAGAACAAAGATGGCATTTGAGTAGGAACTGTACGATTTCTTGTTTGTTTGCTTTTTATTATTAAGGATATTCTGAAATTCGCAATCACTTTTAGACTCTTATATCGACAGCAATACTCACCAGCTAGAAATTGGAAATTCAACAGTAATTTAGATGAAACTCAAGGTATTTTATGACGAGGAGCTTGAAACATTGTCACACACAACCCTACTAGTGAAGTTATAAAGACTAGCATATACAATTCTGATTTGGGTACTCCAAACATTGAATCCCAGTTGATTTTCTTGAACTTCTTGAGTTTCCGTTTTTCTGGATAGTGCATATATCTATATCAATATAGAGCAAATTTTATTCTTTATATTTTTCAAAATTCAAATATGAAAGCGTTGACTAGTTTATTAGAATATATTTCTCATAAAATAATAATATTGATATTGACGATTAAAATTTAGGGTAAAAAGCAGCAGTAAGAAATAAAAGCAAAATATGAAAAAGGTTTTATTGACTTAATGAGTCTGATTTATAATTTGATAGGGACTTGTATATGAAGAAAACCATCATCTTTCAATTCTGTTGTCAAATGATCAACTTCACAAGTAGGAAATAGAGTAACTTGACGATAACTATGTTCACCTAGAAAAAAAAATTCCATTATATAGTGAATATTTATCTTTTAAAAATACTTACTTATATAGTGAATACCATCAATTGATACTTTATTATCGACTTCAATGCGTAAATCATATCCATTAAGTGAAATTTTCATTTGATCCAATTTTGTACCTGGCTTCATTTGTAAACGCATATAGAGAATTTTCTTGCCACCACGACCATCAACAAGTGATGGATTCCAGGTTTTATTTTGAAGAAATTCTTCAAGTGTATACTTTCTATTTTGATTAGTGCTTGATATTGTCTAAAAAAAAACAAACGAAAATAACAGAGAATGATGCTTGTTTCTTTTCAACAATTACTTTTGCATCGCGACGTTCACTAGTACTTGACTGTTGTTGATTTAATGTATTTTGTGATGTATTGCTTGTTGTACTTGTATTTTTAGTTGATGTTGATTGTGTATCAGTGCTACGTGTAATTGGTATAGAAGCACCTTGATCAGTGCTTCTATCGACTTCTGTTGTTGTTGTTGAAACTTTTCGTTTTTGAATTGTTATTGTACCACCACTAGCCAAAAGTTCCGGTGGAACTTCTATTGGTAAATTTGCCAAATCTATCAAACAAAATACATACTTGAAGAAAATTATGGTAAAAACCTTACCCGAACTTGTTGATATTGTTTGTTTAGTAGTTGTTGTCGATGATGATCTATCAGGTTCAGTAGCATCAGTTTTTTTAATGCCTTTATTCGATGAATAATGTTCCGATGTTTGTGTACTATAAGTATGAATATTGCTAGCAGTTGTGGTATCCACATTTTTAAGTAATTCAGCTGCTTCACGTGGAAGATCAGTTACGCCGCCTGTCGTCGTTGTCGTAGTTTTTGTAACAGATGTTCGTTGAATTTGTTGATCTGTTGTTGGAGAACCAGAGACATCATTTGATGTATTATATTTATGTAATGAAAAGGATAGACGACGTTGATTATTTTGATTGCTAGTAACATTTAAATGATCAACATGCGTTGATGTATGAAGTGGAATTTCAACCACAAGCATATGAGCTGGAGTTATAAATGATGCCATTGAATCAACATCAGCATGTGCTGGAAGCTCAAAATTTCTTTCAAATTTTTTTTGTACGAAACGATTTTCAGTACGCTCTTCATAAACACCTGATATGGTTAATTTATGATTTTGAACATAGATCTGAAGAAAAGAAAACAGAAATGCAATTAACAGCTTTTTTTTTCTTTTTTCTTACTTTAATTTGATCAGGTTTAAAATTTTCAACATCAAATGTAATACGAAATTTTTCTGCATCATGTGAATGTCTGTCGTGTACTAATTGTAGATTTGGACGACTAAGCCAACGAATATTTTCATCTTGACCAGGTTCAAAATCAAATGCATTAAACCATACATCAGTTTTTTTATTTGAACTACTTGAATTTGTATTTGTACGATGAATTTGTACGGTCTGTGTAGCCATTTATATATATATTATTCGTATGGTAAATTACTGTGGTTTGTGCTATGAGTATTTATATATGCATATTATCCTATTTTTCTCGTTAAGTAGATCCATAATGACAGGGTCTCACTCATCTGCAAAATAGCTTTTTTTCACCCACTTTTTTTCCTCTAAAAGTGCAAAATTGTTGTCATTTCATGATTGATTGATATTTATGTTTTAGATTTTTTATTTTGTATGTCAGAAAATACATGTAAGACATATTGACATAACAATATCTATCTACTTATAGGGATCAATGATTTGTTTAGTCGTATACATATGCTTAGAAACTAGTTGATAAAAAGATTTGCAATGCTTATTATTCTACATATGAAGATAATATGTCGAAATAAAAACCAATTAAGCATGATAAATCTGTCGACAAGAACGTGCTAGAACTAATCTTTTAAATGTTACATAGAAAACCAAATATAGCCTACAATATAATTGCAAGCATTTATGTATTAGTGATATAAATAGTTTGATTGACATGTTGATAAACATTATTGTTCTTTCCGACAATAATAGTTAACAATATTCAGACAAATTGATTTCCTCATGTCATATGTCTTTTTTAAGTATGGTCTAACATTGTGCTAATGGCCTGAAAAACAAATTTTTAGTCTTTGAAATATAAATTCACTGATAAACATATTCTTGATAATAATATGAACAAAATCATTTAGGATCATTTGATAATTGAGGAAAATCTATTTAGATATGAAAAACAAATTGAACATTTGATTTTCTTATTTTTCTTAAATAAATACATCCTGAATTGCACATTACCCTGTTAATTGAATTATTTTGTGTTTGTCTTTTAAATTTTATTTGAAAATTTGTTTTTTTTTTTTACAAAAATGTGCTTTTTCAGATGCACGTAGCAAGAAAATATTTCTTTAAAATTCTCATTTGATTTTAGTTAAATTATTTACATAGGTCGACGAATAGAAATAAAATGAGATTTCATCATCGAAAAAGGAAAAGTTTGTTTTTTTGTTTTTTGCATTCTTATGAATTCATTTTATATGATAGGACAAAATCTATTCGAAAATTAAAAAAAAAACACTACTCATAGAAAGATCGATTTTTTTTGTTTCTTTTTTAACCTTGAAATATGAGTAAACAAATTTAAAATAAATAAAACATTGTTTCGATCAAAATCTAAAAGCAAAACGAAATGAACACATAGAAATAGGTAGCTGCTGTACTCGGCCAAAAACGAAAGATGATATTCATCGAAATTCTGAATTAGAACAACGAATAAATCAATCAACAGTAGAGAAGATCGATTTATCTAATATGAATTTAATAAATGAAGACATTCCAATTATTATAGATAAAGCCATTAGACAGAAAAAATCCCCATCTCTCTCATTATCAATAAACAAGATAATAGCTGAGGGTATTGGAATTGCTAGTCGATGTTCTTAAAACAAATAGGGTGTGGGGTGTGGGGGTGTGGGGGTGAGGTGTGTGGGTGTGGGTGCCATTTAGAAGACCATACACCCACATCCACACCCACATCCACACCCCACCCCACCCACACCCACACACCCACACCCACACCCACACCCACATCCACACCCACACCCACACCCACACCCCACACCCACACCCACACCCACACCCACACCCACACCCACACCCACACCCACACCCACACCCACCCACACCCACCCACACCCCACACCCACACCCACACCCCACCCACACCCACACCCACACCCACCCACACCCACACTCCCCAGAATGAATAATTTGCATTTGGTAGGGTGTGGGTGTGGGCGGGTGTGGGTGTGGGCGGGTGTGGGCGTGGGTGGGGTGTGGGGTGTGGGTGTGGTGGGTGTGGGGGTGGGGGTGGGTGCGAGCGTGGGTATTTCCATCATTTACACCCACACCCACACCCAGACCCACATCCATCCACACCCACAACGAGACCCACATCCACTCACACCCACACCCATACCCACATCCACCCATACCCACATCCATCCAC